GGAGGGGGAGGAGGAGGAGGAGGACATTTATGACCACGACAACCACCATTGCTGCCACTGCTGCTTTGACAATTGAGCAGGTGCAGTAGCAGCAACAGTCGCAATGCCAACATTCATCGCTACAGTTCGCAGCAGTACTACCAATCACAATGTCACAGTGACAAGAACAGCAGGAATGACAATTACTTCACAACGATCAAGATGCTACGGTCAATACTGCCATTGGTGAAGATACTGGGAACTGCTTCTCTACTTCATTGGCAGGAGATTGCCCGGCAAGCTGCCGCGGGGGCCGGGCAGGTAGAGCCCCTTCACAAGTTTTTATGAGCTTGTGATCTCATGTTCGTGAGACAAGCGGAGGCAAGGTACTTAAGTTTAGCGGCGGATCCAATTCTTAAGAGTTGTTCTGCTACGGGGTTTGACTGCTTTGAGTGCATAGTTGGCTACGAGTCCTCTGGTACTGCTAACACCTTCCTAATGTAGCACTGCTCATGCTCTTGTTTTGATTCGAAGCTGCTGCTGCTGCTGCTACTGCTAACATCACTGTCGTTATATCAGCAAACAGAAAGGTAATGCCCATTTCCTTTTGCAGTAGTGGTTTCTGAAGGTCCTTGTGTTTCGAGGGAGCCAACAAGGGGTGCAGGTTGATGGTTCAGTCCGCGGTATATGGGCACTTGGCATCGCAGGCGTTGGGCCAAGCCGGGCAGATGTTGGCGGAGACTGGGCATGCAAGCCCCCATCGCCCGAAGCGTACCTCCAATTCCCGATGCCTCACCCTCACAAGGAATCCTCGCCCTCCGATTGGCCTCATCGACCAGACAAGCTTCCAAGCCTGCGACAGGATCAGATTGCGCAGGGCCCCGCCGGACTCCGCTTCCTGGCCTTTGCGGCTGCTGGCACGTGGCCTTGATGCACTGCAGAACCGGCAGGCACTTCAGGGACGACTGAGAAGCGCATCTGCTTTCCTGTACTTTCCCGACACGCCAAGTTTCCGAAGCAACCCTCGAAGCCTTGGCCTTGGGCTGTCTCAGGTCCTTGGCTGTGTGTGTCCTGGAGTTTCTGAGTGTTGAAAGCCGGGGCCCCCAGCACGACATCCACCGTGCTATTGCCGAGTGTATGTTGTCAGTACAACCACTCAGACAGTCAATCTTGCCATGTGAATATACACATCTAGAGAAAACATAAGTCATAAGTATATATGTACATGTACATCTCTCTCTCTCTCTCTGTCGGTCTCGCTCTTTCTGTCTTACATGCGTACATACATACATACATACATACATACATACATACATACATACATACATACATACATACATGTGCATTCTGTACATACGCACATTGATATACTCTTTACATGCACAGACACGTGCCTTGCATACATGTATGGCCTTGTCACTTCGCTGGGTGAAGGCATAGCCAAAATCGAGCAGGAGTCCTCCGTCCATGAGTTCTCTCTGAACTTCGCGAGTCGGCAAGCCGATCCAAATTTCACAGATCGTGCGCTCTTCTCTTCACCACTTTCAGTATGGCAGGGTCCATGGCAGGTCATTCTCGGCCGTCTCTGGCCGATATTCCCTCTTTGCCACAGCTTTTTTTTCGATCTCGCTGAGGAAGAAGCCCAACGATTGCATGCAACCGGCTTTTCGCTTCTCAGACTGCGACACGCGAGAGGTGTTGTTGCGTTTTTTTGGCTGATTGACCTCCATCGAAAAGCGCATGGCGATGCATGGTGTGATTCCAGCCCCATCCTTTTTGACCGCAGTTTGCACCGAACTTGCTTCGAAGTACGCAGGATTTCCGCAGAATTCCACGGCACACACCACACCGTCACCGGATCATGTGTGCAGTTGAGCCAGACCACGCTCTTGTGTGGCTTTGGCTATGCCAATAAAGTTCAAATCTGAAAAGTTCAACTCGGAAGTTGAACTCGAAATCATCGAAACCATTGTAATGTAAAAGACACACTCCAGGTGGACATGCAAGCGAGGCTTCACTGAGTGACGTCGGAACAAGCGGACTTAGCGCACACATACGCAGTCCTTCTGTTGATGGACAAGATTCTGCATGACCCAAATATAGTATAGTACCATAAATCCCATAGTTTAGGTATATAAGGTCATGCAAGATTTTGTCCATCAACCGTTCTGGCGGTTTTTGCACCGGGGGCCGAGCATTTTGCGCTGGGATCCTGCGAAACCTTCAACCCCCAGGCCCCAGCCCAGCAGAGGTGTCTTCACGGGGCCGGCAAGATGGGCAACCCGACTTAAAGGGGGGCGGGTTTAGGGTTTGGGGTTTAGGGTTTATAGGGGTTTATAGGGGTTTAGGGTTTGGGAGAGCCCGGGTGCCAGGATTTGGAACGATTTGGATCTGCTTTTCATCACCCTGAACCCCAAGCCCATTCTACATCGCTGCACCACCAAGCAACATCCGAGGTTATCTCTGGCTTTCAGGGCATCTTCGCTGTGACGACAATGCTGTTTGAGATGCCTGCAGACTGGGTTGCCATGGTCCCAGGGGTCACTCACTACCAGGAGTGCATTGGTTTTCGTTTCCCGCGCTCTTTTTACTGATGATGTAGTCGGAAATCTGCACCATGTCCATTAAGTTCGCATCCGTAGTTTCGGGCCACACCAGTCCGGGGACACTCGACACTCGCCCACGCACGCAGCAGGACCTGATCATCGACGAGGCGAAGTTCATGACTCGCGCCGGAGGCACGCCTTGGCAGCTCAATATAATATAATGTAGTATAGTATAGTACAGTATTAGTATAGTAATTAGTATTACGGCACACGGTTTGAGAATGGAAAGCTGATGCTCCAGTAGGAATCGCAAAATCCCCAGCTGAACCAGCCACGGCCAAAGCAACCTGAGTCCTCATGTCCGATGGACGCGAGGCAGGGGCCTGTTCTACATCTTCCAGGGGGCGATTTGGGCACTTCGGCAACATTCACAGGTGCGCAAGCGCTCCCTAGGCACTACACCTTTCCACTCTTCATGCTGTGCTTGAGGGCTTTTTATGCAGGGGTGGGTTCGATCTGGGTAGCTTCAGTAATGAAGCCTGCCATACCCTACCTTGCTGTCTAGACGTGCAGCAGCGTGTTCATCAAATTGCTCTGTCTGGGTCTGCAAGGGCGTCACGGATCATTGCGTGAACTTTAGCCTCGATTCCGCAAGCAAACACGGTGAAGAAGACCTATAATATAATATAACTTAATATAATATAATATAATATAATATAATATAATATAATATAATATAATATAATATAATACAATATAATATAATATAATATAATAAAATATAATAAAATATAATATACTATAATATAATATAATATAATATAATATAATATAATATAATATAATATAATACCGAAGTCCGAAATGGTCTCGTGTAGCTAACGTCAACCCCGGGCCCCGACAAGGGTGGGCCAAGGGGTTGTGCCCGCAAACTAACAAGGCCCTTTGTAAGCGCACAAAAATGCAAACGGTCGGTGCTTTTCAAGATGCCTTCGCTCCGTGTTGTGAAAACAGTCATTGCAGTGCGGAGTGCAAGTTATCACCAACGACCCAAAGAAGAAACGACTCCGTTAAAGGAGCCCGCGACTCTCAGAGACATCTTAGTACTGCGCGCGGCTCTTTGCGCCCCTCCCTCGTGCATCCGAGGCCTGCTTCGCTTCCCTGGTGAAATTAGTCCATCTGGTGGCAGCTGTGGCGATGCTGCTCGTGGGCACACTCCATGTGCTGATGCAGCTTCTTGGCGCTCAAACTTGGGTGGGAGACACTGAAGTTGAGACCATCTTTTCCAATTTGGCGGTGTTTTCAGTCTCATGACGGCTGACGAAATTTCCAACCGGTAGTAATGCGTAGCTTCGACAGACATGCCTTGGTGTTTAGTTGGGAAGTGAGTAAGATTCCCAATCCCTGCTGGCTGCGACAGCTGCAAGTAGTGCCTGGTCCGCTTGCAATGGGCCGTCGAAGCAGGATGTTGTCGCCACAAAGGCTTCGGCAACGCGCATCCGCTAGACATGGCACTTTTCTGCGAGCCTAGTTGCTTGGGCGGAGCACGCAACTGGGTCTTCATGACAGGGAGGAAGCACATCACCAATACCTGCAGATGTGCAAGTTACATGTGGTGGGAAATCGTCCCAACTCCGAAGTGCGACTTTTCCTGCACTCCGAGAATCCCTAGACCAATCTTGGTCCGTCTCAGATCCGTTGCTCTCCACTTGAGGTTTGGCATCATGCCGCAAAACATCGCGGAAAAGATTCGTGAGAAGACCCCTGGCTGCCCTTGCAGAGAGTTTTCTCAGCTGAGCAGGCCGGTTCGGCATATTTCGCTGCGGAGATCTACTGTTGTCTTGGAAGATTCATGATCGTGATGGCCACGGGTTTGGTGACGCGTGGAGCTGTAGCTCAAACTGTTTTGAGATGCCTCAAACCTAACCTCCGGCGTGTTCTGATTGGTGCATGTTGGTGCAGCTTTAGGCCCTGCAGTGCGCAACAATCCCTCCGACATGATACCACAAAGTCATGTCATCTCTCGTTGTAGACAGGAATCCGAAGCATGATCATGATGCCCTGGGGTGATCCATCACCTTAGGACGGCATATGGCGGCTATTCTCCGGTGCCACAGAACGACGCGTGAAGCGGATCCCCAGTCCAGGGTGGGGTGCGAGAATCAGTGTACGGGCAATAGAGTGTTATTGTTGTCACTGTCATTGGCATTATTAGCATTAATATAATTCCGTTATTATTATTGTTATTGTTATGATCATTGTTGTTATAATCATCATTATGACTATCAGTACTAGAGTCCATGCATCACCTCCTCTACGAGGTTGAGCCGACCGTTATTCGCGGTCGCTCGCCGGAAAGGCTCCTTAGCTTGCCGGCAGCAAGGGCACCTGGGAGTTTCCAAAAATTAGGGTACCTTATTTTGGGGTCCTTTTTATAAGGACCCTATTATTTAGGGTACTATATTAGGGTCCCCTATTTTCGGAAACCCCCACCTCTTGCAAGGACCTGACGCTTAGGCTCAAGATACTTCGAAAGGGTCGCGCAAAAGCCATGCAGTTCTGGCAACATTGCAAGGTGCCTGGATTACAGCGATTTTACATAGGTTTAGGTCTGGATCTAGTGTCGAGGATTCGGCTGAGCCGGACTCCTTCTGACCACATGTGGCTTACTCGTGCGATTGCAGCGGAAAAGGTGTTTCGTATTCTTGGATGGGTCTGGCAGGCAGTGCAAATTTTGGAACCGACATATCGCCCCTGGCCTTCACCCCGAGGCGATAGGAGTTCAGCGCACAACGACGCACATTACAAATTTCGGACTTTTTTGGACGTTCAAGGAGCACTGCAATCCCTGTTCGGAAAGCTATGGATTGCCTTTCTTTTATGTTGTCTAGCACCATGTGCGAGCTTTGATGGTGTGATGGGCGAGTTTTTTGAATTACTCAGCACTTTGTTTGGATGTCTGCCTGCCAGGCGACTTGGCATTCGCCCATTTTTGGAGCCCAATCTAAGTCATGTGTGTGCGGGGCAATGTCGCTTTGACAGGCCACAAATTTCATGATACTTTGCCCTGCGCTGGCGGCCTGCTTTACGAGACCTAGATGCCGCTGAGTCACCAAACGGGTGCCACCAATGTACCCAGGTGAGAACGGCCAGTTTGCTGCCGATGGCCATCATCCGGATACTCCCCAGGCAGCCCGAGAGCAGGCACCGGGAAGCCTTGCAAAGACCCTCTGAGCCCCGAGCCGAACTTACGATACTGATTCATTTTGCTTTAGCAGCGGCTTGTCCGAGCCATCCTTGTTTCAGACCTCCGTCAAGTCAGCTGCTGGAGAGTTGGAGTTGGCTTCCTCTGTGCGCTCGACAGGAGGAAATTGCTGAGAGGCATGTGGCTAGATTCTAGACGCCTCCGGCTGCTCATGTCGACAGAGAAGTCTGCTTGGAGATAGATCCGTGCACGCGCATATTTTGCATTTTCTTCTCCAGGCATATGCATCCAGGCGGTTCTACACCCCAGATGATGATGACGAGGGCGAGGGCGAGGAGCGAAGTGGGGCTACTTCAAGTATCATGTGCCGCACCTACCAGCTCCATCATGAGACTTCTCGAGGTATGGGTAGTCGGAAATCGAGCCGCGCATGGAGAACTCTGAGCACCCTCTCCGTCTTTCGGGCTTCACTAGATCATCGCACAGGTTGGTCTGCAGGTTTGGAGGTGACTTGCTTGGAGGGAGGCTAAGCTCTTGTAGGGCTGGCCGTTCTTAAGATATTAGATGCTGCGCACAGAGGAGCCTCCACTCCTGAGCAGTTCCGGACGTGGCAGCCGCTCTCAGGCCCCGGGTGACAGGATTTTCGCCAGCTTTCGGTATGATGAGCAGCAGAATCCTCCTGAAATGATTCCACGTAGAACGATGCTCTGTGCCTCTGCTCGAATACTTTGTTTGAAGCAGCCTTAATCAAGAAGTCGCAAACTTTCCCCACAAGCTTCTTCAAAGCAACACGATGCATGCTGTCAGTGTGTATCAGTGTAGCAAGCTTCCCCAGACTTTTACTTTCTCTGGAACTCTGAACACCAATTTTTCTTGAGCAACCGCCGTCCAATCCTACGTCTGGCGACTTAGAGCTCTGATGATCTCCGCGGACTTGCTCGCTGGGAGGAGTTGAAGGAAGCCTTCGTTAAAACCACGAAGCCCCCCTCTCACAACCCCATAGACCTTGAGGCATCTTCTATAAGACCCTAACTAAGCAAACTCCTGACATCGCAGCCCCAGAGTAGGGTACTGCACCCAGACAGTAACAGGCAGTACCAAACCCCACAGCATCATGCAGGGCGTTCACGAGCGCGGTTCCGGACTCGACCCCTCGAGTTTGAGGCCCGCGCCGGCAGGGCCGGGGCACCTAGCCATGACGCCAGTAGGTGTTGACATGTTTACATTTGTACGTATGCTCAGAGACGCGCAATGTACCCGCATGAATAGACATGCACACACCTCCCTCCCTCCCTCCCTCC